GGCTTGCTCACGAGTCCACTCCCTATCTTGACCTGCTGGCCTGTTGCTCTGCCACGTCAGGGGAACACCATGTCCACACCCGACAAATGGCTGTGTCTCCCCAGGCGTGGAAGGGGCACTGGGCCCCAGCTGCTGTCCCTGAGAAGCACCTGGGCGACGCCTGCACATCTCTGCAATTCACAAGTTTCCTCTGGTGAACAGCTAACAACAGATTTACAGCTCAAAGCGACTTGTTTGTTTTTAAAAATAATGTCAATCAAACAAGAAGCTACTTTAAAAGGCAGCAGCAAACAGCAAACACCTTTAGTAGAGACTGAAAAAGAAAATTTATGAGATGAGCATCACAGGCCAGTTAACACGCTGGGCCGGGCATCGTGTGGTCAGTGGGGCAGAACCTTCCAGAAGCAGGCCGACCGCTCTGTGACCGCAGGGCGCTCGCTGGTTGCTCAGCGCCAACATGGCTGTGGAGGTACTCGGACAGGGCAGGCGGAACGGTGGGAAGTGGGTCTCATTCTAAGACCTTCTGTCGGAACCCTGCCCCTCGAGGGAAGCCCCCCTTGACCCCACCTGCTCCCAAACTCACCACGTAGTCACAGAAGAGGATGAGCGCCCCTCTTCGCACGATCTCGCGGTTGCACATGCCCAGCCTGGAAGCCCAGTCAGAGTCCGCCTCTCCCAGCGCCTGAGGGCTGAGCAGCTTGGTGCTGGACAGACTGTGTCGCCTGAAACCCAGGGTGAAGGAAGGGGAGTGTGAGACACGACGCAGACGAACTCTGTGAGAAGCCAACGGAGGAGCACGGGCGACACGGACACTTGTCCACAGACTGTGTCACCTAGAAGCAGCCGCAGGAGACGGCCAGCGTTTCCAGGATGAGCGCTGAAGACCCAAGAGAGGCTCGGAACGGCGAGAGCCCCGTGTCCCCTCTGTGTGTCCCCACTGTGTGTCCCCTCCGTGTGCAGTCCTGAGCTGGGACAGAGAACAGACCCAAACTTCAGGCAGGGGATTCGCAGAGCAGAAAGGGAAGAGGCCTGACAGGGGGTGAAGCACGTACCCTGTGAGAACCCTCGACAGGCACTGAGGCCTCAGAACTCAGGCGAGCCTGGCACCGCTGTGTGTGGGTTTCCCTGTTTAATGCACCAGAGAAAGCGGTCCATTGTCAGAAAGCAAACCTTCAGTCATTCACGGTTTACAACGAAATCACCACTCAGGAGCGCACCAGGAAACGTGCCCACAGTGTCCGCACTGCTAGGGAAAGGGAGCGCTGACCGATCACCTCCACGCCACACAAAACCCTCGCTGACGGCTGGGCTCTGGCTCTGGACTCCACGGCGGTCACCCTGAAGGAAGCAGCCTGCCCACCTTTCTCCCTGGGAGAGGCTGATGGACTTGAACTGCTAATGTCTGCGTCAGCACCTGTATCCTGACAGGGAGTGAGCAGTCCCGTCCAGATCTGTGTGGGTCCCGACGGCATGGACGAGAACGGCCGATGCACCGCTCACGGTGCCACGGGCTATGTGGGACCCCGACAATCCCACCCAAACAGTAACCCGTAAACCTAGGACTGTCTGAGAAAAGGTGAACAAAGGCAGGGCCCCTGTGCGGAGGCCCAAGTGCTCTCAGAGCTGGGCTGTGTGAGAAAACGTGAACAAGGTGAGACCCCTCCAGGGAGGCCCTGGTGGTCTGGCAGGCGAGGCCCATCGGGGCAGACCTGGTGGTCTTGAAGCTGTGCTGAGAGGTGGGCAGGAAAGACCCCTCGCGGCAGCCCTGGTGGCCTGGGAGTGCACTGTCTCAGAGGCAGGCATCTGAGACCCCTCAGGGTGACCCTGGTGGTCTGAGTGGGCCGGTGAGATCCCCTGGGGCAGCCCTGTTGGTCTTGAAGCCACGCTGTCTGAGAGGCAGGCTGCAGCTGGACAAACAGTGGCTGAGCGAGGTCACTTTAACCGGAGGAAGAACTGGACAGAATTGACGTCCACGTGATGGTCTAACAACAGAAGGTTTGCTGATGCACATTTCACAGGTCCAGTAATTAGCTCTGCATTCTGGAATGAAGGCCCTTGGCCTGACGCTCCACAGAAGCAGCCCTTCCTCGGGCAGCAGCTTGGACAGGCCAGGATCTGCTCCCTCTGGGGGACGCTGCGCGGTCTACGGGCCCTCTGTTTTATACTGTTTTTCTCCTTCTAAGAGTCAGGCTTGAAGCACCTGCACACCAGGACAAATACCTGATTGTACATTCTTTCCGTTTTACCTCTCTAACTCTGTGCCCTGCCAAACAACTAGACACTGTCTCAGAAGAGTACAGCCCGCGTGCACCAAGGTGGTGAGGTGCTGCCTCACACAGGCTGGCCAGTCTGGAAGAGGACATAGTGCTTGGACAAGGACATCAGTGAAGGAGGAAGTCCCTTGAGAGCTGGGCTCACAGCGATGGAACTGAGGGAGTCAGCAGAGTGGACAGTGTGGGACAAGGGAGGCTGTGTTCTGCTGGGCGCAGAGTCCCTGTGAGCTGACCTGACCTCTCCCAACAACACCCTCGAGCCAGTCTGCCTGTCCTCTCCTGTGACAGCACGGCCTTGGGGGGGTCCCCTAGAGCCTCAGGGGATTCCCTAGCATCAGGCTGCCCCATAACAGCAGAGCCTCGGGGGGGGGGCCCTCCAGGACCAGGCTGCCCCATAACAACCTTGGGGGGCCCTCTAGGACCAGGCTGCCCCGTAACAGCAGAGCCTCGGGGAGCCCTCCAGGACCAGGCTGCCCCATAACAACCTTGGGGGGCCCTC